GGTTGTCTTTTCCTTGTTTTAGATGTACTTTTATTATTGCTTTTTAATGTGGAAAAGTTGATTTAGACCAAAAAGAAAAAAAAAAAGAAATTTTTGAATTGGTTTTAGATTGTTTTCTGCTATATAAAGCAGAGATTATTAACGAGAAGATCTTAGTTGGAGTGTTATACTCCTATCCAACTTCGTTTATGTTCTACTCTTCATCTTCCTCCTGATTTTCTCTCTATTGCTTTGTGAGGAAAAAAAAAATCAACAGTTTAAAAGATCAAGCTATTGCCATGTTTATTGGTGGTTTAAAGGTGGAGTTATAGCGTTTTGTCGTTTGTCAACACCGTAAATCTGTTGTAGAAGCCTTTTCCTATGTTAAACATCAAGAAGCTACTGCAAAATCTATCCTAAAGAAAACCAAATTCCAAAGTTCACAGGCCTATAGCAGAACTCTTCCACCTTTAGTACCTTTGCCTCCAAATGCTCAGAAGCTTATTTCCAACTAAAATGCCACCATTCACTCGCCAAAATAGTCCCTTTATCTCATTAGCCCCTAAAAACCTACCCAAAACCAAGGGAACCAAAGCTTATTTATCATTATTATTATTTTTTATCTTAACCTTATCTTATTTATTTATTTCAATTAGTCATCTTATTATTAGAAGTCTCTCTTTATCTATTTTTTAAGTGTAATATAAGTATAAATTATCATCAAATTCCTAATTAAAAAAAAATAAAACAACAGTTATTTGAAACAAATAGAGCATTATCAACAAATTAGTGTTATGAACAAATTTTTTTTCCAAAAATAAAACTGATATGTTCTTTTTCTGGTATGAGGTAAGTAAGAAAAGGATAAATTCTGTTATAAAGAAAAAGAACAAACAATTGTGTTCTTTTAAGGACGGATAAATTCTGTCCTAAAGACAAGGAAAGAATAGAAAACAGAATTGGGTATCTTGCACTCAGATTTCCTTAATGCTGACAAGGAATTGGAATTGTGCAAATGGTGTGTATTGCTAATGGTTGATTTGTGTGGTAGATTGATTGCTGAAATTTTGTGGAATGTCATTTTTTGGTCTACTCAGTGGTTGCTTGCGGGGAAATTAAAGGTTTTATATTTAGTTTGTGGATTTAAGTTGATGAGTTCAACTTTGTGGGGAACCAAAGCTTTATCAAAAGCAGAAGTAGACAAGAAGAAACAAAAGAACTTTCTACCTTCTCTTTTAATCTGTATCATTTTCTTCCTCTTAGCTTTCTTCTTCTGCAATTTCTTTTCTTTCTCATCCTGATTCTATCTCTATTCCTACCTTCTCTTTGTTGAATAAAAGGGGCCAAATAATGGAATACTCTCTCAGGAATATTAACAAACAGTTGGTGAGCACAATAAAAATGAAGGGAAATTAAGCAATTTGAGAAGTAAAGATCACAAGATGCTCTGTAAAATAATGGAATAGGAAGAAAATATATTTCAGATAATTATCATACCAGTTAACAATTAAATGGCCCATAAATAGTCAAGGTGCCAATCAACAAAGCTATAAAATAGCAACCACTATGCTAAACAGTTTAAACTACTTCCTAATAACTAGGAAACACAAAGACACGTATAAGGAAATGACTAAATACCAGGAACAATCTAAAGACTTATCCAACACTCTTATGTATCAAAATCAAAGGGGAAAACAAAAATTAGGTGGGAAAACTAACCGTGGACGGTGAGCCGATTTCCAGGGAAAGCGGCGGCTGCCGCGGCGGCGTCGACGACGACGACGACCACGACCGGTGGCTCCTCGGGAGGATGGGCACTGGAAGCGGTGGACTTTCGTTTGGACTTTCGTTCTGGGGCACAGTCAACAAGAAGAACAGGGAATAGGCACTGTAAATCCAAGGAAAGCCAAACAAAGACCATCAAAATCTACCGAGAAAGCTGCAAAATTACCGTCATTGGCGTGGGGGCTTGGAGAGCAGGACGTGCGCCGGTCAGCTACTCAGTGCAGCACGAACGGCGAAAGCTAACCTCGCCGGAGAAAAGAGGAAAAACAGAAGAAAATAGGGAAAGCGAGGAAAAGTGGGGAATAATGAACAACGACAGCCAAAGTTGTCGGTTATGCCCAAAATCCACAACAATTC